GGAGGGGGCAGGGCGGGGGCAGAGCGGGGGTGGGGCCTTGAGGGTGGGGGCAGGGCCTTGGGGTGGAGCAGGGGTGGACTCCCACTGGAAAAAATAGAAGTCAGTGCCTGTCCTCTGCAATAGTGTTGGTTCATCGTTCTGGAGATGTTCTGGGTGTTGGCATTTCCAAGTGAAATGTTTGGTGAAATGGGGATTACTGTGATGTTCTGGGTGTTGGCGTTTCCATGCGAAATGGCTAGTGAAATGGGGATTGCCGTGATGTTCTGGGTGTTGGTGTTTCTGTGCTAAATGATTGGTGAAGTAGGGATTGTGATGAGACTGGGAAGAGACTGTTTAAAGAGGAGGCTACAAGAGGCCATGCTGAAAGGGATGGGGAAGGTTACTTCAGGAGATCCCCAAGGATGGGTCTTAGGTCTAATCTTATTTACCGTTTTCGTTAAGGACACCGGCACAAAACGTGGGGCGTGCCGATGAAGTGTGTGGCTGACGCAAAGGTGGGAGGCATTGCTGGGATGGAGGAGGAGTGGAGAGGAGGGCTTCAGAAGTGGGTCTAATAGACACCGGATGAAAAGTCCTGGTGTGAAGGGCAGGGGACTTCAGGGCTACCACGGTTTTTGCTGTAAACTGGGGGTGTGTCATCTGGAGGTGACGCAGGAGGGGAAGGAGCTGGGTGACGGAGCTGCCCACGGGATGTGGCTGTGAAAAAGGCTAATCCAGGCCTGGCATGCACCTGGCCATGTATTTCTCGTGAGGCAGGAACGTGTCAGTACCATTCCAGAAGCCTCTGGTGAGCCCTCCCCTGGCCTCTGCCACGCAATTCTGGCCTCCTGTGTTTAAGAGGAGAACTCGAAATTGGAACAGGCGCCGAGAAGGGTTACCCAGCCGATTGGGTTAGTCTGTTTCAGCAAAACCAGCAAGGAGTCCGGTGGCACTTTAAGGACTCACACACTTATTGGGGCATGGGCTTTTCTGGGTACCCCTCAGTTCCTCAGAGGCTGAAGGGAAAAGCAGACCAAAGGGGAAGGGATACAGAGATGGGAGTGTGGCATCAGTGCTCACGGAGACCTGCCTCACAAGAGGAGACTTATTTAGCCTGGCCAGAAGAAGGCCGAGGGAGGTACGATTGCTCTGCATGCGTACATCAGAAGGCTATCCCCACGGAGAGAGAGGAATTATTTATCGGTTAATGTTGGCACTAGTACAAATGGATAAATTGGCCATTGGTAAGTTTCGGCTTGAAATGAGATGACTGTTTCAGACCCTTAGGGGAGCAATGTTCTGAAACAGCATCCCAAGGGAGAAGTGGGGGGCAAGGAAACCCCCAACTGGCTTCAAAACTGAGCTTGACCAGTTTCTGGAAGGGGTGGTTTGATGAGATTGGCATGTGGCCCGATGAGATTGGCA